GTCCATAATATCATATTTATAAATATATTATATCTATATCTGTGTGTTGATAATTTTGCTGAGTGTAAGCAGACATCAGTTTTTGAATGATTATCAATGGAACTATTTATAGAAAGAAATGTCGTTATTTGCTTGCATGGTTCAGCATGTAGTCTTCAAATACAGCAAAAATATATAAAACTTTTTATGTAATATATTGGTTAACTTATATAAAATATGTTTATAAAATGTGTAAGTAATAAATAATTTAAGCTGTATGATATCTTTTAACAGTCTTACACATGAAAATAATACAAATCATACGTAGTATTGTATATTTGTACATTTATATTACAAAGAGATCACGTGTATTTAATAATTTGTATCCAAACTGATTTAAAGAGATTTATTTTCAAATTATTATCATTTTTTAAATCATTGATATTATGTGTATATAATAATATGAAAGTAATAAAAGAAGGATGTGAGCGTAAATATTATTCTGATCTGATTTCTTGCAAATTAATTCAAGGGGAAAATAAAGATGTATTATTCATATATTCAATTTGAAGCTGAATTATATATATTCTATTCCACCTATTCAATTGTTTGATAAAAAGCAAACTTTTCATTCTTGCAACTATTTGTAACAGTTTTCTGCTGAAAATGTACTTTTGTCTTTTATGGAGATTTGAATATTATTTTTAAACACAAGGAAATATATGAAACATATAAAGTTATGATTAGTATCACATTCTTTATGCTTTGCTGTAGTTTCAGAATATAAAAATGATGATTTTCATTCTACGTTTTGTATACTTGATTGGAATTTAAATTCATAGAAATGCAGCGGATTTGTTAAACACAGGGTATATCTTAAAAATGAATTAGTCATATATTCGTGGATGTAAATGCTTGATTTTAAAACCACAGAAGTACAGCTGATAGATTTTTACTACGTATTTCAGGAGTAATTGCTATTAAATCAAATAAAGCATTAATCAGAGTAAAATAAATAACTATTCTTTTCTTATGATCTCAAAGAAATTTATAAACTTCCTAAAACAAAGAAAAGTAATTGTTATTTATAAAAATGGGTCAAAATTGGGAGAATGCAATGGAATTTTTATTTCTTGGAATAATATACTTTGGTTTGAAAAAGAAAAGAAAATCACTTTTTTCAGCTATGTCAGGAATTTGAAAAAAAAAATTAGAGCTGCCTTTCTGAGACAGATATATAATTTATAGAAAGGATTTCTCCTGTTAGATTTCTGACACAATCACTAATACATTTAAAGGAATTGATTACCAATAGACTTGTTTGAAACTTTAATTTTAGTTGGTAGAGGAATTTTCTTTTTATATTAATAAACCTATCATTTATTTAAATTATTAATATTTGAATAATTGATTGTTGGAAAGTAAAGTTTTATTAATGAAAGATATTTCTGATAAACCTTATTTTTTACTTATAATTAAAATAAATAAAAGAGTAAAAAATCTCCATGTGTTAATATCATACATATTTTTTGATATACATTTTTGATAATCCCCAACTAAATGTTTATATTATCAAATATGGCCATATACACATATGAATTTTATGTAATGTTTTAGAAAAGAATGCACTATTTAATCAAATTCATTTTCTTTTTCAAATCTGTGGAAGTAAAAATAGAATTAAAAGGCCTTTTACGAAATCTTAGCAAAAATGTCTACTATAAATACAAATTGATTCGTTCAGTCATATTTTTAAAAATATGCTTTTTTTGTTTTATAACCTATACAAGGTTTGGTTATTCAATATTGAGACTGATGCTATAAAACATTTTATTTCGATTTCATGTTTACTTATAATCACCTTCCATATACAACCCTTTTCTATCCCAACAACTC